TTACTGTTAAAAATGACCTTTTCCGCATAGCCAACGATAGTATTTCAACTTTCGCACCATGAAAGAACCTAGGTTGCGGTCTACATTGTATATCGAAAGAAAGCTCTTTCAAAACTCTACAAAATGCATGGTCATTCATTAACAATAATCGCATTGTCAATCGTGATCAAATTAACCTTGGTGGCAATAATGGCAACAATAACAACAACAACGGTGGTAAAATTGTCTTACATCGTTTTAATGATGGTGTTGGATCGTGGACAGGTTTAAACATACAGGGACTATGGCAATCGAACGAATTTATTGTAAGTGGTACTGATGGTTTGAAAGCAGATATCAAACTGGAAGACAATGCTCAATATTATTTGCACAATACACAACAATATAATTTACAGGGAAAACGTTACTTGAAAGCTTATGCACGATATGCTCCATGGGGTAATGTTGGCACTATGTTGGCCAAATTGTATGTGAAAACTGGTAGTGATTGGAAATGGTTTGATAGTGGCTCATATACACTGAATAACTATGGAGAGACTGAACTCGTACTAGACTTGAATAATATCCAAGACGTAAAAGAGCTTGGTGTACAATATTCTACAATGAGTGGAAGTTGGGGACAATCAGCTATTTATTTAGCGTACATCACGGCAGAATAGTAAGCTCTGTTCACTGCTAAACTCTTGTATCTATAGTTTAGTACACATTAAATAAAAGAAAATCCATTCAGTGTATTTATATATTCAGACTATTCAGAAAACTCACGGTTGCACACCCGTGCTCAAAACGAACCGATCTTGACTTTTATTGCTAACATCGCTCACAGTTCGACACATCAACAATCAGTAGCATATTAGTCTACGTTCGACCGAAAGTAAAAAATGCGCAGACCAATCCTTGGAACAAGCTTTTTCTTGTTTGTCTTTTTCTTTGTCTGCTATGATTTGATTCATGTTTCAAAGCTTATTCTTATAAATCACATGCTGTACTCAACGGCTTGTCCAAACGTCACGGCGTTACGTTTTCGACGCACTAAACGTCAGTTATCTCGGAAACTATAGTAGCTAGAAAGTTCGTTCAAACGTCAATCGACACAGTTCATCATGCTCTACTTATGCTATAAAAACGAAGTTTCTTGGATGGTGCATTGGCTTGAGAAGGATTTTAGTGTCGCGTCGCTATGGCGTTACGATAAAACACCTTTTTTTCGCGCGCTATGGGGAATTCTTTAATTTCCTGTGAAGTTAATTATGTGAAAAGGAAACTTCTAGAGCAAAATTTATAGAGTAATTGAAGGGCTATCCGATGGTAAAAAATGTCTTCTAGCGTTTTTCGATAGGGAGAAAGATGTAAAATAAAAACGTCACGGCGTTACGCACTTTTTTGTCAAGCATATTAACACGATGGTAAAGTTTTGATTTTCACAGCTTCCTGTGTTCTTTGTATATTTGATTGATCTACGCAAAAATCAAGTTGCTTTATCAAAATTGGAGCTCAAAAACTGGACAGTAAGTCGGAAACTGTACAACT